GGCTATTGATAAATAATTTGATAAATAATTTTTTTTTACTATGTAGTTTTTCGTTAAATTCTTATAGATGAAATACGAATTATCACATCAATAATAATAAAGATATATACATATGTACGTAATTATGCACATGGATACTCGCATAAATATCGCACAATTTGAAATCATCACATCGCATCAAAATGCTTTTCAAATCACATAATCCGGTGTCTCTAACTCAAACATTATGATCTTAACTATGTTTCAAAACAAACTTTTACTTATATTGGGCTATGAAACCAATCAAGCATCTTTTGTATAATCTAGTAGAATTATTTTGAATCTTATAATAGTTTGATAGTATTAGATTTTCTTGAGGTAATTAGATTAATTGTTCTTGATAGCAATTAGTTGATTCATCTTTATATATTGAAATATTTTTTTCATTATTGAGCATATTATATAAGATATATGAAAAAATTATAATTAGTGAAAGTACAAAAAAGTAGTTATACTGTACAATTGAATTTATAATTGAAGAATTACTCTATATATTGTACTACAATTTTGAGTTAAGTAGAAATTGAACTGTTATTTGTAAATATTAACTGAATAGCTTTTTAGACATATATTTAATAAAGTATAATTGCAATAAAAATATGAATAAGACATAGAGCATAGGAACAAATTTTACAGTATCAATAATTATATTAATGTGATTACTATAAAATTTTTTTGACTAAATTTTAATTTCTACTAATCAAAGAGATTTTTTACTTAACTAATTACGATTGGTGCAGATTCTACTATTATAGCCAATATTGTAGCATGTCCTACACTTTCTATTTGACATTTTTAATTTCTGTAGTTCAAAGGAAAAAGAATTCTTCGAGTAGATAATCTGAGATCATTTTGTGATCCAGTTGGACATTTTTTGGTATGTATAAAAGTTGGATTCAATAAATGTGATGGTAGTTCTTGAATTATTCTTAAGAGCTCCTCTCAGGCTTTTATTAATAATAGAACCAGTCAGGATTTATATATTTAACCAAATTCTTCAAATAAATGTTCAAACTAATCATCCTCTACTAAATCTTGCTGGGATAATATATCTTTTTCAATCCACCAGTGTTTATGAATATCATAAAAGTTCAATAATTTGGAGGCTACAAGATATTTTTTGATCATGTAGACACATGGAAGACCCATTGTTGAACTTAAAAAACCTATACAAGGAGGCAGAGGATTAGTGGAATTCACAGATGATGCTTTTAGAAATTGCTTATACAATTTCTTTAATGCAAATAAAAAGATTTTATTAATCAATCACAATAAAATAGAGTATTTTGTTTATGCAGAAGCTGTGTTTTTCTTTAGCAATCATTGCCTTAATTTCATTGTTTTGATTTTCAGACATTAATACAAGTTTTTCATACATATTATATAGATTGCCTGTAGAAACCTGCAAATACTGCTTCAAAGTAAAATGTGCTTCTTCCACTCTTGAGATTACAATATTGCCTAGGTGAAGATATCTGTCAGTTTATTCATTTACAAACCTGTCTTTAAATTGTAACTATGTATTGTTAAGGTAATTTATAATAAATAAAGTTTTACTATAACTATCATATAATTTTTGCTATTGAATTATAAATTCTTCTTTAGTTTTAGACTTCACTACCACCAACCAGAGTTGGAGAAATTTATTCTATACTTCTTTACTATGAAAATTTTGTTTACACTTACTTATTATATTTTTTTTAATATGCTATAAGCTCAATTGACTTTTTGTATCAGGAAATATACTTTTAAGCATATTTAATAGTGCTAATTTCCGATTTGTAATTATTACTTTAGATTTTTTCATTCCATTAAACAAGCATGAAAGTTATGTTAATGCTTATTTGTAATCCTCATTGTTTTTATTTTTAAGAAATATGAAGCATAAGAAAAAGGTTATATTGAAACTAGTAATTCTAACTATATTAAGTAATAGCATCTTGAAGTTATTTGTTTTATATATACAATCTATTAATAACACATTTAAATATGTTTAGATCAATTTAATAGATTTGTGATATAAGAAAAAAGGTGAGTTATATGTTTGTCAGAATTACAATTATAATTATATTCGATTGAGTCTTTCTTAAAATTATCCAAATGCACTTGAATAAGCATTTGTCTTTGTAGATATTCATCATAGAGCTTTTTACAGACATTATAAATGTTTTTTGAAGTTGCTATGACTGAAGAATCATTTTGTCTAAAAAAAGACAAAATTTGTCATAGACAGGCACTAGCCTTTGACATTGTACTTACTTGATCTAAAGCTTGACGATCTAATCTTTTAAGTGACAGATGAGCTAAAAGATCTTTAGATGGTTCATATTAATGCTTTGGGTTATCGATAGACAGAGTCTATAGATCATCATATCCTTTCTTTTTACAAGGAGCAAAAGGGCAGTCTATAAGCCTAAAGCTAGTTTTTAGTTTATGTGTCTCACTAGTAAGGTTTAGACAGTTTTGATACTCTTCTCTATAATTACAAGCTAAGTATACAATATTTTTCTTTGATTTAGCAATAGAAATTCCATATCTATTTGCAGCTTCAAATGTTTGAACATGTTTTATCAAGGCATTACGATTTGAAATTTGCTAACAGAAGGAGGAGGTAAGACCATTTTTTAGTAATTATTAAAAGAGACACTTTTATATATTTATTTTTTCATTTTGTTACAGTACCGTGGCCTTCTTAACAGCAGTACTATAACAATGACACGGCTACAGGGATCCTTCACAGGTTTATA